AAGATAACCCACAAAATCCATCAAGCCCCCCAACTTTCTTTTTTTTGTATACTATTTGGCACTTGAGGAAGTAGGAGGCCAAGTAAAGAGATACTCACTTCCAAGAGGAGAAATAAAGAAAAAAGAGAAGATGAGAAGGATCACCCAAAGATCAAAGCAAGATCAACCTATAAACACCAAGTAAAAGGGGAGGGTACTTTTCATAATCAAGGAGAATACCTTGTTTAAATGGTTTTGAGTCAAGCAGAGCCTTAACCCTTTTGGTTGTGATTGAAATTGTGTGTGTTGGTGAATCCATGATTAAAATTTTGATTGAAGTAAATGCATGAAAATTACTAAAATCCACAAATTGTATTGTATTTGATGATGACTTTGCTTGTTATGTAGTTGGTTGTATGAAAATCTTGCATGTTTCATTTTGTGGCTTATTTTTACGATATCTAAGTTGTATTCATGATCTTCTTTTGGATTGAAATTATTTTGGAGTCAAAATGAATTTCTAAAGTATTTTTGAAGATTTATGAAAGAAACTTCTAAAAAGAAATGGATTAAGAATGGAAAGTGACCATGATGAAGACCCTTGGACTTTTAGACATATTTGGACCTATGGACTACATGGACAAATGATGAGAACAAACTTTGAAAAATAAATTTGAAAGATTAAACCTAAAAAAGAAAAATACCATGGACTTGGACCACCAATACCTTGAAAATGCAAGACACTTGATCACATGTGTGGTAGGACCATGAAAATGATTTGGATCATATTTGGACATGAATTAATAACCTTGAGCACCTTGAAAGATATACTGGACAATTTGAGAATTAAAAATTTGGAGGTAAGGACCTTTTTGTAATTAATATTAAATATAAAGATTAAAGTGTAAATAATGTAAAATATGAGAAAATCTTTGAAATTTTTTTTTTTAGTATTTTATTCATGAAGATAGTTAAATTTTAAGGATTTTTCCACTAGTTTTACTTTATTTAGATTTAAATTAAATTATTTATGATTTTTCTAAGTTTCTGCTACATGAAAATAGTATTCTAGGAGCAGTGTGCCTTGATTCAATTTCGTTTTAATATCTTTGTATGGAGTTATTTTATCTCTATATATATAAATAGACTTATTAGTGGAAATTTTTCACTAGTTTTATTTGATTTGGATTTGAAACAAAATAAATATGAATTTATGAATATTATGATGTGTGTGAATGATTTCTTGAGAATAGCTCACTACAAATTCTCTTTATCTGAAATTCCATGCATAATATTATTTTATTTATATTTTTTACAAAATTATACTTCATAAGAAAAATATTTTCACTGAATTTGCAGAAATTGATGTTAAAATTAAATACTTATGATTTTCTCAATATGCTATTGTATGAGAGCAACGTTTTGTGCATGCTACTGAGAAACCTATTTTCGTTCTAAAATGTATAAGTGATGTTATTATATTATTATTATTATTTTATGAAAATAGAGACTATAAGGGAAATATCCCCACTATTTTGATGGATTTTGGACTTAAAATAAAATAGTTATGACTTTTCTATTTAACTGATTCTGAGAAGTATGTTACTTAGAGTGATAGAGAATGTTTAGGACTTATTCTGGAATCTGAAAGCTATAAATTTTTAATTATATTTTCTATGAAACTAGATAACCAAAGTGAAATAATGCCACTGATTTCATGAGTTTTAGTGATGAATTAATGGTTTATGAATTTTCTAATATGTTGTTGAATTATGCTATTCTGTAACATGTACTGAGAAATTAAAGCACGAATTGATGTCTGGGAATATTTTGATTTTGGAAGTATTTTTACATGAAAATAAACATGTTAATAAGAATAATCTCACCAGTCTCATGTGTTTTGGATGAGAATTGAATTTATTATGAATTTTACAATATGTTAGCTGTGTAGTGAAATGACTTGAGAACAACAGAGGTAAACTGATACTTGATTAATTCTTTGGAAGCTTTTGTATTTTGACTGTAATTTTATATTATAGTAGACATTTAAAGGAAGAAAACCTTTGTTATTTCATGATGTTTGGACTTGTATCAAATTAGTTATGAATTTTACAAGTTAGTTCATGAAATCTGAAAAATTTTGATTGTTAGAGATCTTGGAGGGATACTTTTTAGCACCTAAATGCTATTGCTATGCCACAGACGAGTCAGAAGGCAATAAGAAGATCTTAAATTACAAGGGAGCGGGTAAAAGTCTTATAACTCCTGAATGGTTTGAAGAGCAGTATGCCAACCCCTCCCGAACTCTGACGGAGAAGGTCACTTTTCCTTTTTGACCCGATTGGAAAGAACTTGAGGTTAAAAAGAAAGAGTACTACCACTCTTAGAACTCTCGGTAACACCAAGAGGAAGTCCTTATTTGATGAATATGGAAAATGTGTAAGTACAGATCCGCTTGATATCAATGACTTGTCATGTCTAAATTACATTGGAACAAAACTCTTAGAGAATTTGAAAAGGAAAAATGCGATTTTAGAAAAAAGAATCGTGCTCGTTCTCTGAAATTAGTTCAGCTAGAACAGGAAAGAGGTATCCCAGCGGGGAGTAGAATCACAAAAGAATACCCAACCATTAGAAGATAAGAATACAATAGAGCAAAAGAAATGCTATGCTAAAAGGGGTGAAGAGGAAAGGGCTCAGACAACTCCGTCTAACAATGCATCATTATGTCCATGTGATTGATTGTTCTCTTGAAATAGAGATGGTATAATGTACCTGTTGGACAACTATTGGCTATGAAATTGTTGTGTTTGTATTTATGATTGTGAAAAAGGTTGAATAAGTCATGGTACAGGTGAGGAGAAAATAGTGTTGGTCCAACCATAGGAGATAGGAGAGTACCCAAGACTTACAGAGGACCAAGCCTAGCTAACTTGTGTCGTAGGCAGTGGAAACTTTGCTAGCCTATCCTTACAGGCACTAGAGCATACCAAGATCGATTTGAGTGTGGGTTGCTAGTAGTGATTATAAAATGAGAATTGTGCACTTATGTTCTATCTCCGGTAAAAAGAGAAGATGTACCAATGATACTAGCTGGATTGCAAACACAAAACACCCAATCTTAACCTGAAATTGAAATATTGGATAATTAATTAATTACTCCATGGAGAATTCACAAACAAAAGACATTGAATGATTGTTTCTTGATGCTTGAATGTTGTTTTGCTCATTTAAGCACAAGTATGAGGATGCTTGAATGTTGTTTTGTTCATTTAAGCATAGATATTGGTGATGCTTGATATCGTTGATGCCTGAATGATGTTTTATTCATTTAAGCATATGTATTGCCTTGTATTATTGTTTATGAATGTTTGTACTCACCCCTCTTCTTTGTTTTGTGTCGTGAACAATGTTATGGATGCAGAATAACTCTCCTCCAGCTAGGCTAGAGGAGTAGGGGACGAGACGTCTAGGGAGTAGCTTATATGTGTAGTGAACTGTGTTTAAGGGTCACTACGTAGATCTTTGTTTCTTTTATGATGTAATTAATCGAATGGCAAGAAGAAATTTAGAAGGCTTGTAACTTATTGAGCACTATAATATTATGTCATTGTATGATATTAGTGCTTTTGTGTAAAAGAGTTAGTTGATGCTTTAGATGTAATTGACTCTTATATACGTTATAAAAAAAAACTTAAGTATTTTCTAAAAAATATCAGATAATGGAAATTAAACTATTAAAAATAAGAACGTTTCCCTGTCTATGATTGAGAATATACACAATTCTTTAATTCACTATGAATTAAAATATAAAAATTAATTTACTTAAGAATAATTAAGCAAAGGTTAATTAACAATGTTTTAGGCAAAATAAGTAAATTTTAAAGGACTTAAATTGTTAGAGTCCCAATATTTTTACTATTAAGTTAAATTCTTAAAGATTCCTTTTATGGCTATATTTGAAGGACCAAAATCTATTAAGGACAAATTTAGTGATAAAATAGTTAAAAAATTAACAAGGTACTTTAAATTTTTGAAAGATTAATTTATTGAATAATTTTATCTATAAAATCAATTGTTTAATTAAAATTTCTTTTCATAAAAATTGTCAATAAAAATTTAAAACAATACAAATTTATTTTATAGTTCTTTTAGGCATATTAAAGCTAACATAATATATAATTTTGAAATATATATAAAATGAATCCATTAATTATATTTAATATGCGTAATTAATGTAATGCAAGTTAAGGAAGGAACCTATCAACTACGAGATGTAAGGAATATCAAATTAAATCAAATCCTATATCATGAAAAATTCTTTCATTAACACGCAAAAGTTGGTACTAAGAAATGCTTTAACAAATTTATCACAAGTGATTTCAAGAGACTTAGACTAAATCTTTACATCTCCACAACTTTAAAGTGAAAAATTAACATATACTACCACAAGCTTTCATATACTTAAATAATTAAAACATATTCTTAAAACTCAACAAAATTACTGCAAGACATATTCTGACACAACCAAATTAACACTAATAACTCATTAATCCTAAACAATTATAGACTAAATATGGACCTTATCAGAACCTAATATCACATGTAACAAATAAAATTTTAATGGATTTGTCTAAATTACTCGGGAGTAAATAACTTAATCTAAGATGGACTAAAAGTTAAGACATTGTGTAAAAAATTATATCAACATTTTATATACAAAATCTCATTAGAAACCTAGGATGATGCAGTGCAATTAAGTTTCAAAATAGTGATCAACAAGAAAGTGGAAACATCAACGGTTTCACCGCAAATGCATGATTTTTACTTGAACACTGCAGATGAATATAGGAGAATTTTGGACCTCAGAAGTAGCCTTTAACATCTGCTACATTTTGGCAAAACTAATTCATTATCAAGGTAAAACATCCATCCAAAATAAGTAAATAAAGGCCTTTGGTGCTTGTGTCTCATCACAATATCTGTGGGAAGGATTTCCATGGAAAAATAAAATTTTAATGAATATAATTTCCTAGTAAAATAATAAGCTTGTGAAACACAACCATGATAAACCATCATTTTACAGAATTTGTGAAGAAGAAAAAGTTGGCAGGCAGGTTCACACTTCAATTCGCGTAATAGTCAAAAGGAAACTTCAGAACGCCAACTTGAGCCCAAAAGTGTAGAGAGTACACATACTGGTTCTATTAAATACTCTCAATAAGTACTTATAGGATTCAAATTTATTTGCATCCTTCATCAAACACCAAACTGGACCATAGTTCACTTGGAAAACCCAGCTCAAAATCATAGGAAGAACATTTATTTGCATCCTTCATCAGTATGAAACCAATATAGTTAACAAACAACATAAGAAACAATTCTACCCCAATCATAGCACACAGTCGAGAGAACAATACAATGGCAACAATCTTCTTACCAACACAACGTCAAGGCGGTAAAATATGCCGCAACTTCAGACATACGTAATTATTCTGAAGTAAATTACAATGTACAGGGAAAATGAGAAAAGGGCAAACACATGCTGCCAAAAGAGAAGGGCTGAAGCTTCACTAACTGCATAACCCCTCAGGCTGGCAATTGCTCCCAGTAAAATAGCACTTGGTGTGGTGTACTGTAACAAAAGCACAAATCTAAACATAGCATCATTCTCAACCAAGAAATTTAGCTTGTCGGACAATGCTACAATCCCAATACCAAGGACAGGAAGCACTAGGAGTCTCGCCACAGTAATACCAATTGTAGTTCTAAGGCCAAGTTTAGACTCATTTGGTCCTTCAGCAAGCATACCCCCCAATATAAGCATTACAGAAGGTACCATAGCCCCAGCTAAAATCTCCAAACTGTCTGTAATGAAAGATAATGGAGCATCATATCCAAAGAACAAAGCTTTCAGCTGAGGCACTGTGCCAATGATGATAGCTAATAGAGAGGCAATTGTTGGGGGTTGAAGTATGTGCTGAATTGGAGTTTGTTCAGCGACAATTCTGATCCTCCTTACAACTCTAGGTTCAGCCAAACATCTAATGGACTTGGGACTGTTACCGCCACTTTCTGCTGTCACTTCAAGCTCAGGAATAGTGGATGAGGAAATACCTGAGATGCTCTGAAAGATCCTGGCAATAAAAGGTGTCTTAGAATGTTCAGTCTCTTTATCCTCTATGCCAGGCCACTCAGCCTCTACAAGGAGTGGTCTACTGATATCATTAAGCGTGCTTTCTTCCTCAATTTCAGCCCCTTCCTCAACAATCTCATAATACTCCATAGGAGGTTCCATCATGTGATAAACAAGAGTGTATACAAGGATAACAGAAACCCATTGAGATAAGGAGACATATGCCACCCCTCTTGTGTTGCAATGCTTCCCAAATGGATTGTCTTTGGTATGGCAAACAGATCCAACCACAGCAAGGAGGAGATTCCCAGTGTTACCAAATCCTGTCATTATAATGGTAAATCTAGTTAACTCTGGAGGCGGCCTACATATGATCACCACTAAGAACCCAAGCAAGCAACCAAGAGCTGTACTCACTACCACATTAACAGGGATAAACCACCAATCCACAAAGTTTTCAAGAGTGATGCTTTCACCAAGCTCGGTAAATATAAGGCATGGCAAGAACAGAGCAAACACAAGTTTACTAAGAAGTTTAAATGTAGCTTTGGGAATGAATTGCATGGTTGGGTTTGCAAGAAGTAGTCCTATCACTGTTAGGCAGAGCAGCTTCAACAAAGGTACTATAGCAGATATCAGATCTGCACCAGCAGACCTCATAGTATTTTCATTCGAACCCACAATGTGTCCAGACATGATTACCTCAACAACTTCAGACACCTCCTACAACAAAACAAATCATACACTAAACACATGATTAAATTTTCTCTACATCAAATCATTACCGAGACAAAACTCAGATTCCTCCAGTACGAGGAAGGTCAATTGCACAAAATCACACCAATCAACCATTAAAATTTACCACAAAAACACAAACTGGTTTTCTTCAAAGTTTCAGTAAGAATCTATCAAGAAATGGATGTTCGGTCGAAAGAGGGAACTTACAAATAAAATTCGGAAAAAGTGTCAACTTTCTCGTTTATCTCGCTGTCCCAGAAGAAGATGAAATTCAAATAACGAAATTAACAGCAATTTCAGGCAAATACTTAATAATAAGTTGCGAGGTTCGGCGTGAGGAATTAAAATTTTCCTGATATCAATCGATAAACCTTGCTCTGTTCCCTGTTTGCCGCACTTAATTTTTCATTTGGAGATTAATAAAAATATTTCCTTTCCTTTACACACAAAAATATTTCGAATTTAACAGTGTTACTTTCTTTCAACGATAGCATTATTTTTGGTGATGTATCTAAAAAATAAAATAAATATATCGACAAAGATTAACATCGTTAGTCTTTCTTCTGAAAATGTACGATCTAGATTTTTACTAACATCACCACATCTTGTTGGGACCAAAACGGAATCTCAATGATTTCTTTCAATTATGTTCAAAATAAAGAAAAAGAAAAAGAAAAACTAATAAAAATAAGAAATAAAATAAAAATAAAGCAATAAAAAGTGTTGTTTAGATGAGTTAAAATAAAAAATAATAAAAACATTTTTCTTTATTTATTTAGATGTAAAAAAAAGTGAAAAACTAAATATTTTATCTATAATAATAATAATAATTTAAATTTAATACAAATATTTTTAATTTTTTCAAATCGTATAAAAATTTACCTGGAACTAATTTATATTTATTTAATTTGCAATAATGTCTACCTTTAATCCAAAACACTTTTATTCAAAAACAAATGTTTAATTTGTCTTTCAAAAATGAAAATATCAAAAATAAGTTATTTAAAAATTTAGACAACTAAATTAATTTTTAAAAGACTTAAATTGTTAGTATCCCCATGTTTAAATTTTACAGATTCCCTTCACCTCCTTGATATATTTTAAGGACGACCAATTAGTGATAAAATAATTAAAATCTAACGAGATAATGTTTCAAATTTTTGAGAGATTAATTTATTAAATAATTTTATCTATAAAATTAAGTGTTGAATTAAAAGTTTTGATCATATAAACTGACTGTAAAAATATAAAATAATACAAAATTATTTTATAATTCATTCAATATATCAAACCTAACATAATACATAATTTTAATATATATATATATATATATATATATATATATATATATAATTCTTTGATTATATTTTATAGTTCTACAATTTTGACAAATTTAATATACATAATCTATGTAAGTTAAGGAAGGAGCTTGTTAAATGAGGTATGTAAAAAATATCAAATAAAAATTATATCATGATAATTTTGATTCATTCAGAGGCAAAAATTGATACTAAGAAATGCTTTGATAAATTTATTATCAATGACGGAGTATCATGTCATGGCCCCTTTTTAATTTCATTTATAATATGATACAGATATATTATAATTAATATAATTTTATGAAGAAAATTTAACTTAACATTAAAATCTATAGAATAACAAAATTTTAAAGGCATTTTTATATAATTCAATAACTATATAATTATATGTACATAATTAGAACATTTGCTCCAATTGGAGTTCAAAATACAAAGTCTTTGCATAATGGTTACATCAAAACATTAAATTTGTAACCAAGTGGCTTAGGTTCACACTAAAACCTTGACTACTAAAACTAAGGTACATATCCTAAAATTTTGGGCCTAGACTACTCTTTAGTCAGACTCCCCAGCATGGAAATTAGACACTCCACCTATCACTCGTGCTCATATACCGTGTAACATCCTTCTTTTGGCATAAATAATTTTTCTTTAATAATTCATATTATTAGAAATATCATTAAGGAAATTTGTAAGAACTTGTACAACTTTGGAGAAAATGGTACAATATGGGAACATAAACTAATAAAATTTGACAAATTTTATAAAATTTACCAAATTAAAAATTTCATAAAAATGAAATAAAGATACATAAATAGATTAATACATCTATTACATTAAATTAATTATATCTAAGCAGTTCTTTTTCCACAATCCTTGACAAGTATGACTCTAAAACAGATTAACTATCTCCATCTCTTTTCTTTCATTACCTTAAAAATATCAGTAAGGATGAATATTTTCTACCCCACTAAATCTCTTTTATTATAGATTATCTTAAATGAAACTACAGTTATGGCCTAACATCCTATTCTAACTCATTACCAATAATAAACAACTTACATTAACAATTATCATATTAAAGCACATACAACAAGACAACCATCAATCAAAGCATATACAATAATTCACCTATTTTACATACATTTCTATGTTAACCTGTATGTTATAATATGTAACGCCTCAAATTTTTGTAATATTAATTATTGTATTTATATAAATCTAAATGTATATATGTATATGGGTATTTTGGATATGTGTTGTGGATGTGTGTATATATATGTATGCATGACTGGATAGGCTGAAAATAGGCTAAGTGCCTAAGTGCAGAGTGTAATACTGGGCTGTTCTCGCTGCAGCGAGAGGATTCTCGCTGTAGCCAGAGGATTCTCGCTGTAGCCAGAGTGCCCTGGGAGGAAGGACCAGAACTGTCGCCTTCTCGCTGTAACGAGATTCTGCAGAAACTAGGGTGCATTTTTATTTGATATTTTTGCTGCAGCGGGAAGACGTGTTGCTGCAGCGAGAACATCTCGCTGTAGCGAGAGTGTCGAGACCAGAAAAGGATTTAAAGGGGATTAGGGTTTGGGGAGAGTTATTTCTCCTTCTCCTTTCAATCCTCTTATTCCCAAAGCCCTATTCCACCGATTAATTGCCTCTAAAGCCGTTCGGGAGCTTGATTGAAGGTTGAATCGTTGTGAGGAATACTTGGAGGTGAGTTTTAATGGTTAGGGTTCGATTCTCATCCCCTTTTCTCTGTTTCTGGGTTTCCTTAGGTTCTCATGGAGTTCTTCCATGTGTTTTAGGCCGTAATCTATGTAAGGAGCACGTTTGTGGTTAAATCCGAGTGTGGGTCTTCAATCCAAGGTAAGGGGGGACTCTACCCTATCTCAATGTATTGTAATTCTTGTGTATTTTAATGAATAATGCAATGTGGCTGAAATAGAGAGTAGAAATTGTGTGTTTGATGAAAATTGGTATGCAATGTGATGTGTGCTAGAATAGTTAGGCCCCGTGGGGGATTGTGTGTGATAGAATGTCATTGGTTGGTGAATTAATGATATTGTGAATGAATGAAGGCTATGTGCCGTATATTGTGGATAAAATGTGGGCCTAGTGCCGTGTATTTGAATGCAATGTGGATTGTGTGTCATGTGTAAGCATGATTATTGCATGCGTGAATGAAATATATGTGTGAATTGGCGTGTTAGCGCCGTTGTAATATGCTGTAAATGGTTTAGCGATACACTGGGGGTGTGAAAGATGAGGACAGTAGAAATACCTTAGGGAAGAGAGAGTGGTGGTGACACCGCTGTGGAACGGGTGCACCACGGGCCACACACTCTCTTTCTGACTAGACCTCTGACCACTATCTTTGCTAAGCGACCCGTGACTGCCCACATGGTATCCATGAGGCGGGGGTAACCGGCGACCATTCATGGTGTAAATCTGTGATCACAATGCCATAGTGAGTGTGGCTGACGTGTATATGCATGAGTTTATGTACTGTACTTATGGATGTGAAATGTTGTCGATGCCATGAGCGCATCGGTGTTAAATTGACATGAGCTGTGTGATAATGCTGCTTGTGATTGTGTTTGTTTAATGTATTGGAAATGTTCTGGAGGTGAGACTCTACGTTGATTGTGTGTTTTTGAGTAGTGTAGAGTACTCACCCTTATATTCATTTTTCAGGTAATCAAGACGATCAGCACCGAACTCAGTGAAGGGGTGGATGGAACTGCTATAGGACTTGGGATATCATTTTGAAAACTATTGTATTTGAATAAGTCCTGTAGTAACTGTTTGATATAATTTGTAACCCCTTTCTTTATTTGAAATATTTGATGAACTTGGATTGAAAATGAAAATTTTTATTATTTTAAAAATTTGCGAAATTCATCATTTATTGAAATTAAATTCAAGGTGTTACAAAATACATGTATATTATCATCTCAATTAATATGTCACAATACATGTGTCTTAGTCTCACCCATCGATGTACTACAACACATATATCGTAACAACATAAATTGATCTGTTACGATGCATATATTATAATCATACAAATTTTATACTATTTCACATCTATAACACTTTCATAATAATTGCCTCTGGGATCCCTTGAGGACTTCATAGCATAGATAGTTGCTGGTTAGCCACAGCAACACGGATACACGTGTACTGACCTGGCCCCTTTTAGCAAAGGTATAGTCAGGAGTTTCGTCAAAAAACAACTGTGTGGCCAAACGATGCATTTGTAATTTATAAATGTGTACATTCAAGTGAATGTCATCCCTCACCCTACGTTTGCCCCAGATTTTCCAAATCTTCTCCAGACTCTATACCCCAATTGTATCTTTGTAACTATCTATACTTATTCCCTTTCTCAGCATTTCTCATTTTCAGTTTCATATTTTTTTCTATCGATCAGCATGTCATAATATGTGAGTTATGATTTATATAAATTTGTGGATCATAATATATATATATATATATATATATATAATAATAATAATAATAATAATAATAATATACCCTTCAATGTACCATAATATATATCGTAATCACCCTTTTCAAATTGTTTTGACCCACACATCAAATCATGCATCTCATTCTTTCTCAGTCATATTTTATTTTCTCTTTCATATATCACATGCTTTCAAAATAAATTAACACTTCAATTATTCATGTGAATTGACCCAATTTAGACACATATCAGCTATCAAATTATATCTATACTTATTGCATCATGCCAATCAAACATAGAAAATTATCACATAATATCACACCATACAATCAATACAATATGCCAATATAACACAAAAATTATCACCCAATATCATACGATACAATCTGTACAATATGCCAATCTAACACAGAAATTATCACACAATATCACATCATACAATCAATACAATATGCCGAAAGTCGAACACCCTCAGACTCAGCCCAATTCGTACAATCTCAATATGGTCTTCTAACCTAAAGTTCAGAATTTTGTGTCTTTTATTACTTAACTCATATACATCTAAGTAACTTAGTCCTAAAACTTCTTAATGTTATTCTAACCCATAACTTTTTCTAAGAATTTGATTTCATTAATTTCAATTAAACTCAA